TCATTGCCTGTGACATAAATGTCCACGTTTAAAGGCAGATATCATTGCCTGTGACATACATGTCCACGTGTGAAGGCAGATACCATTGCCTGTGACATACATGTCCACGTTTGAAGGCAGATAGCATTGCCTGTGACATACATGTCCACGTTTTAAGGCAGATATCATTGCCTGTGACATACATGTCCACGTTTAAAGGCAGATATCATTGCCTGTGACATACATGTCCACGTTTGAAGGCAGATACCATTGCCTGTGACATACATGTCCACGTTTGAAGGCAGATAGCATTGCCTGTGACATACATGTCCACGTTTTAAGACAGATATCATTGCCTGTGACATACATGTCCACGTTTAAAGGCAGATATCATTGCCTGTGACATACATGTCCACGTGTGAAGGCAGATACCATAGCTGTGACATACATGTCCACGTGTGAAGGCAGATAGCATTGCTGTGACATACATTTCCACGTTTGAGGGCAGATATCATTGCCTGTGACATACATGTCCACGTTTAAAGGAAGATAGCATTGCCTGTGACATACATGTCCACGTTTGAAGGCAGATAACATTGCCTGTGACATACATGTCCACGTTTTGAATACAGACACTCCACATTTAAGCATGTGCATACAGACACTCCACATTTAAGCATGTGAATACAGACACTCCACATTTAAACATGTGAATACAGACACTCCACATTTAAGCATGTGAATACAGACACTCCACATTTAAGCATGTGCATACAGACACTCCACAAATTGTATTTTATTTTCAATGCATAAGGCATAACTGTGACAGAGGCAATGAACGGAGCAACGCTCGATTGATCAAGCTTAGTGAAATGTTAATCTGCCAATCGGAAATTCCGCGGAACAAAAATGTCATATTGGTGTTCCATGTGATGTTTATGCTGATCGGGGAAAAGATGCATTTTCTATTAACTTGTTTATAAATGGAAAGGTCACACACGAGGATGTATTAAGCTTAAACAGCTCAGGCTGTTGTGGTTTGTCTAGCGATTCAGTTTCAAACACGATCTAACACTAAACAATATAATAGATTGTATTTTAAGAGCGACGTTTAGGTTTGACCCTTCCGGCAATGATATTCAGTTTAAAAACCTAATTAAAATTAAACCCGGATTGTATGCAAATGGAAGAGTAAATAAATATTCCTTCGGGCAGACTTAATTTTACCTTCAGATAATCAGCTTAATCTGTAAATACCATATGTTTTAGCCTGATCATTGAACGTCACGCAAGATAGTTTTAGAGTACGTATGGGCGTTGATATATGCATAGAACAACATCATTCGGTAAAACTAAATGTTCCGTTCACAAAAACATAACATTTTTTTTTAAATAAAGAGAATCAACGCTATAACTATCGGCTCGTTTATACAACAGGGATCATCCTTGATAATTATAAACATAAAAAGGTTGTAGCGTTATTCCTTAAGTATAACAATAGATAAACTTGTTACAAGATCGAGAAGACGGTCTCTTTATCGTGTATAATTACATTTTTTAATTATTCAATTATCAATAGTTAACCATTAACATACAATGGTATCAAAATGATTACCAGAAGGAAAATCATGATAAAACCATAATGTTGCCTTTTTATCATTTCATAAAGTTATCCTCGATTATAATCATATTGATGATCATCTATCAAGGCCGCTGGTCTGCGTAAGATTACAACTACTCTTAACACCCGTAACAGGTCTTTGTTTCGCTTTTATACATTGTTTACCAAATAATTATCCAATTATATTAATTCTCACATTTGTTCCCTTTCAACACTGGGTCGTGCCAGAACAAATAAAGATTTTTGTTTTAAATCAAAATGAATATATGTTTCAAATGTTACTCAGGTTTGACTCGATGAAACTACCAAACATGGTCATTTACAGTTGCCCATTAAATTGACATGATTAACATTACCTGACGGTATGAAATTTGCGTTTAATTTTACACAGTTTAACCATTATTAATCCGCCTCAACACTAGAAAGTGTTCTGTTTGCTTCTTGAAATAAGCAACATTGATATAATTTAATGTAAATATTCATACTACGATTTTTTTTAAACTGTATAATAAAAAAAATCATGTTCAGAATTATATATCTCCGACATTATGCATAACAACGAATATTCAATAACTGAATATATTTCATCGTCAACTTAACATGATAAACAAGACAGTTTACTACACGTACTAAAATGTATGATAAACAAGACAGTTTACTACACGTACTAAACTGTATGATAAAAAAGACAGTTTACTACACGTACTAAACTGTATGATAAACAAGACAGTTAACTACACGCACTAAACTGTATGATAAACAAGACAGTTTACTACACGTACTAAACTGTATGATAAACAAGACAGTTTACTACACGTACTAAACTGTATGATAAACAAGACAGTTTACTACACGCACTAAACTGTATGATAAACAAGACAGTTTACTACACGCACTAAACTGTATGATAAACAAGACAGTTTACTACACGCACTAAACTGTATGATAAACAAGACAGTTTACTACACGCACTAAACTGTATGATAAACAAGACAGTTTACTACACGCACTAAACTGTATGATAAACAAGACAGTTTACTACACGCACTAAACTGTATGATAAACAAGACAGTTTACTACACGCACTAAACTGTATGATAAACAAGACAGTTTACTACACGCACTAAACTGTATGATAAACAAGACAGTTTACTACACGCACTAAACTGTATGATAAACAAGACAGTTTACTACACGCACTAAACTGTATGATAAACAAGACAGTTTACTACACGCACTAAACTGTATGATAAACAAGACAGTTTACTACACGCACTAAACTGTATGATAAACAAGACAGTTTACTACACGCACTAAACTGTATGATAAACAAGACAGTTTACTACACGCACTAAACTGTATGATAAACAAGACAGTTTACTACACGCACTAAACTGTATGATAAACAAGACAGTTTACTACACGCACTAAACTGTATGATAAACAAGACAGTTTACTACACGCACTAAACTGTATGATAAACAAGACAGTTTACTACACGCACTAAACTGTATGATAAACAAGACAGTTTACTACACGCACTAAACTGTATGATAAACAAGACAGTTTACTACACGCACTAAACTGTATGATAAACAAGACAGTTTACTACACGCACTAAACTGTATGATAAACAAGACAGTTTACTACACGCACTAAACTGTATGATAAACAAGACAGTTTACTACACGCACTAAACTGTATGATAAACAAGACAGTTTACTACACGCACTAAACTGTATGATAAACAAGACAGTTTACTACACGCACTAAACTGTATGATAAACAAGACAGTTTACTACACGCACTAAACTGTATGATAAACAAGACAGTTTACTACACGCACTAAACTGTATGATAAACAAGACAGTTTACTACACGCACTAAACTGTATGATAAACAAGACAGTTTACTACACGCACTAAACTGTATGATAAACAAGACAGTTTACTACACGCACTAAACTGTATGATAAACAAGACAGTTTACTACACGCACTAAACTGTATGATAAACAAGACAGTTTACTACACGCACTAAACTGTATGATAAACAAGACAGTTTACTACACGTACTAAACTGTATGATAAACAAGACAGTTTACTACACGTACTAAACTGTATGATAAACAAGACAGTTTACTACACGTACTAAACTGTATGATAAACAAGACAGTTTACTACACGTACTAAAATGTATGGTAAACAAGACAGTTTACTACACGTACTAAAATGTATGATAAACAAGACAGTTTCGATTTTCTTATCACGATATTTCCTTTACTTTATATTAACAACCCTACTTCACAATCGACAGTGTTGACGTGTCGCAGTTGTTTAGAAACCTTGCTATGAATGTAACGATCTCCGAGATAAACGTTGATCGCTGACGAAACAATTTGCAGCACAGAAACTAGCCTCGTCTGTCTATACACTCAATATTATGTTCTGGGTGTATTGACAGAGGAGGCAAGTACCTGTGATGCGTTGCAACGTTGAAAGATGGAGGTTGATGAAGACCAATGGACGAGTTTCATGTCCTGAAAGCGAAATATTCTACATCTTCGTGCGAGATGAACGTTGGTGTTGCTGATCATGTTCGTCAGTGTTCCACATCCGTTCGTTAGTGTTCCACATCCGTTCGTTAGTGTTTCACATCCGTTCGTTAGTGTTCCACATCCGTTCGTTGTAACGTTTACAGTGCCAGTTCTCGATTTGAGGACGTGCCTTTAACTGACTTTGACCTAAATTTACATGTTTGGTGTCTTCAATGAGGCAGTAGACGCTTATTCTTCGGGAACACCTGGTCTTGAATACCTTATAATTTTCCATTGATCTTTGTGTAAAACTTTGGGTTGTTCACACTTTTTTCTAGTTAATTGATTTTTAATTCGAATGTTTTTTGGCACTTCATCCTCCAATTGTTTTTTTTTATTCGGCCTGTAGACTGATATCCAATAGTGAGAATAATCTATATATTTCTTTCTACTAAATCTTGAAAAAGCTTTACCAAAAGTAAAATGGAGAAGAGAAAATTGTGTCCTTCCAAGATGGCAGACATTCCGAATTGACAATCTGTGTTGAAAAATTAAAGTACATATTGCAGTAATACTTATGTCATTTGCGAACCTTCAACTTTAAACTTTGTTCCAGCACCACATATCTGTTCCAGCACCACATCTCTGTTCCAGCACCACATCTCTGTGCCAGCACCACATCTCTGTTCCAGCACCACATCTGTGCCAGCACCACATCTCTGTTCCAGCACCACATCTTTGTGCTTATTACGTTTTATTTAATCAAAACAAATTCAAAGAAATCGAATCAAACGTAGTCAAGCCGAGTGTTGTGTATGCCAGGTTTTATGGAACATACAAATTAAAACTAACAAAGATAGGTATCTTTTAATATTCATAGTTTATTGGTATCATTCAAATTATCAACAAAATATTTACATGGAGGATCACAGACCAGCTGATAAGGTATTTTGTACAAAAACTTGGCACATTTGAAAATTTACCTGTAGCCAGGTGTGACGAACCTCGCAAGCTTGACAGATAATAAGGAGTGAACACCAAGCTAACGAAGCTCCACACACCTGGCAGGTGTATATACAAAATGGGGGAATAGTTCTCACAATGGTATGATGCATGTCATTATGGCTAATATAAATAATAAATAAACTTGATCATGCTTCTATATTCCATACTTCTTAATTTCTCTTGTTCTTGTCTTGTTTCTTTTCTCTCTCTATCTTCTCTCTCCCCTTTTCTCCATGCATCACTCTTGCTTTCACTCATATGAACTTAAGTTGACATACATTTTAGAGAAAATACTATTCATTCAAAAACAAACAAAAAAGTTCAATTAAATGAACTGTTTCAATAATGAAGTATTAAAGGCTTAAATGAACTCTTCATGAAAAATACTTGATGATGTAACATTTGATTTTAAACAAATGAATATTTCATGAATAACTGAATATGGTCATAAATAGTTTTATACTTCAACAACTATTAATAGTACTCCAATGCTAATGTATATTGTTCAAATTTTAAAATTCCATATGAAGATTAAAATGGATTTAAATCAAATAAAATCGTTAAGATAATAAGCCCCACAGGTATTTTGGCAGTCCTCACTGCATTTTTAAGGGTTTAATTTGTCTCATGCTGGCCTGAGTTTTTTGAACATTTGCCCATCTTTTGAGAAATCTGTCACGGTTCTTAACCAACCTAAACAATGTGGCTCAAAAATGTAACCTTCTATGTAAATACTGATAGAATCGCTGAACATGTTACATATCGCTGGTTTTGAATGGCTTGACAAATCTTCTATCAGTGACTCACTGGTACAGATCTTAAATCGGGGTATTTAATCTTGTTGATTCTAAAAATAATATTTCAACTATTTCATAACCTCAAATCCACCAGACAGGAATACATATTAGTTATGTCTTTGCTCCAAAAACCAAGCATAACAATGTCATGACAGACTGTACTTGGTGTTGTTAGCATACACACCTGCTCAGCACAGAACTCTGATCTACCTTCACAGAAATACTGAACGCTAGATCATTAAAATATTCGTTTTTTCTTGAAAGTCTGCATAAGTTGAAGTTTAGTAGTGATACAAGAATTTTAGAATGGAATGTAGCTTCACGCTAGATCCGAGTTATATCTATAGATCTATCACCGACGTCTGATAAAGACGTAAGGTATCCCAACCTAGACAACACTACATGGTGTCTTAGACCATTTCATTACCAGGGACTTCAAACTATTTTAAAATGCTATTTTAAAGTGTGTACACACCAAAAAATTAAATGCTAGGCTTGGAATCAAAAACATTTTTCCATTGTCCAATCAGAATGAAAAATATGCACAAACATACTAGTGCCTTATATTTTGAGGTTCTTATGGAAAAATCTAGAGAATGTATTTTGGGACATTTTATGACAAGTTGTATGACTAATCAGAGACCACTGTGCCGTGTGTACATGACTGGTTTATAAGTTACGACATACAAGTGTACACGAAGATTACCTACATAATCTATACAACAATATAGCACCACATCAATATTGTGTTCTATATGTATCAGTATTGCACATAAAACCCTAATTAACAGGTGTGAACAGGTGTAAACACCATTTAACACTCACAACTTGTTCATACATTATACAACCCAGCTCACGAAACATATAGGTGTCTACCGTATTTAACTCTTTAGAGCCCTGGAACTTAGTCCTTATGTTGAAATTAGTACGAAACTTACTCTTAAACATTACTGTAAATGTGACGATTACATTTTTGTTTCGGGTTATATAATGGGCTATCTATAGCTAAATACGGTAACGCCAGTAGCGATAATGGGCTATCTATAGCTAAATATGGTAACACCAGTAGCGATAATGGGCTATCTATAGCTAAATATGGTAACACCAGTAGCGATAGTGGGCTATCTATAGCTAAATATGGTAACGCCAGTACCAATAATGGGCTATCTATAGCTAAATATGGTAACGCCGGTACTGATAATGGGCTATCTATAGCTAAATATGGTAACGCCAGTACCGATAATGGGCTATCTATAGCTAAATATGGTAACACCAGTACGGATAATGGGCTATCTATAGCTAAATATGGTAACACCAGTAGGGATAGTGGGCTATCTATAGCTAAATATGGTAACGCCAGTACTGATAATGGGCTATCTATAGCTAAATATGGTAAGGCCAGTACCGATAATGGGCTATCTATAGCTAAATATGGTAACGCCAGAAGTAACAAGGAAACAACGACAGTTTTCCGACAAAGCACCCACTAAAAATATCCTTCTGGAAAAACATTTGATAACATTCCAATCTATAGTATGAGCGTAAATTTAGAAAGATATTTTAGAAACACTCAATTTGAGCTACCATCAACATGAACACATTTTCAAATGATTTCACATCATTGAAATGCTGAATGCTACAAAATGGAGGCAAACTTAACGTGTCTTAATGATAACACGATGAAGTTTAGTCTGAAAGATGAAAACATGTAACACAGTTTTCTAAAATAAATTTTCAAAATAACAATAACTATATATGTTAATGCAAAACAAATGTCACTTGTTGCTTAAGAACGTATATAAGTCTACTGCTTAATATCAACAAAGGTCAAAGGTTAAACCTCAAAGTTCAAAGGTTATAGTTCAATCCTTATGGCGAAATATACACCATATTCCACAAATCATAATGACAACAAAGAATTATTAACAATACAAAATTTGCATGGCTTCAACATAATGAATTCCTTGTTCAGACACAGATGTTGATAGTAATAGATGTCAATAGCCAGTACTGTGTACTTCCAATTCAATGTCCAGTTTCCATCTCCCTGTACATTATCTCTACTGAATGAATAAGGAACTATTTACTCTTCAAGTGACACAAACGACACACATGTCACACATTGTAATGTTAGACATTAAAACATGCAAAGTATTGATGCATTTTTTAAATAATTTCAAAATCTTATATGATGTTTGTTATACATATCATGTTTGCCAATAAAACAGTCCCCACATCTGTAAAACATATGGAAGACATCTATTTTCTTAATTTCTACAGATCATGCAATTCTAATAGGTCAAAAATATTTCCGAAAACTTTAATTTCATGAACATCATAATCTGAAACAAGTTCAACTTGTTTCATATTTCAGCATATTGGTCTCAATGAATGGCTTAGGAAAATATAAATATGATTGTATCAAAAATCTCCATACTGGAATGCTTAAAATGTGTGCAGCATCAGGTCGGGAAAACAGTAATGTCAACCACTGACAATTTACACAAAAACATCTTGCAATTTGTTTATCAAGTATTACCAATCACAGATGTTTAGCATTGTGACTGCAACCCAACTTCACAAAAGCCAGATAAACAAAGCTATGGTCTGGTGGTAAGCATGGTTAACACTACTCCTCTCCAAACTCTCACGAAAACTCTCATGGGGTGTCTTTTATTGTCAGGATTACATCCTGCGAAAATTCCAAATTATTTGTTTTTCACCTTTCAAAATTTTCATTGCTTTTTTGCGAAATCTTGTTATTGTTATTTACGTATTTCAGAATTAAAATTCAAATGGAAACATTTAATTTCATTCGAAAAAATGGTTTGGTTTTTAATCCCTTAACAGAAATATGAATTCATTTTAAATCAGGATCTCATATATCAAAGAGTTCATTTGTAAACGTAGTCAATGCTATTGTAAGGTTTCCAAAGATGAAGATTTCTTTGTCACAAGGGCTGTTAAATCTTACACATTACACTCTCAGCCGCTGGCACTTTTGGTGAAAGTTTAAACTATTCTGGCATTAAGGATTGGTATCCAGAATTCAAAAGCTGTAGCTTCTGTTTTGTTCCAACATAGCTTCTTCTTAGCACTAAAAACTGTTTCACCTTCCAATGGCCCAGTAGTATACTGTCAAAAGATCTATTTTGAAAAGCTTTGTTTGATGTTGTAGTTCATGCCTACTGCTTCTGATACTTCATCGTGATGGGCACTGAAGCTGCTAAGCAGGTTCCAATGCTTCAATCAGCTTACGAAAAGGCTGCTATTCCTGTTTGACAGTCACTAGTCAGCTGTTAAGGTTTCTTAAGAACCTGGCGAACTAATTCACTGCTAGGCAAGTTTCCTTGGTAACTGTCAAGTGTTTATACACAGGAAACGAAAGCCTGGATGGATACAGTTGCTACCTCTCATCGGACTAGAAGAAACCAACTCTGTCTCTTGTGTTTGCCCTGTCATCACCGAGGGAAAACAGCAAACAGGTTTCCAGCAGGTGGGTGGTCACCAAGGGAAAACTTCAAACAGCAGGTCTCCCAACTCCTATCTTTTCAGGTCAATTGCTAGGCACCAGGCAGTCACAAAGGGTTGATTTAGGGATGTTTTGTCCCTCACATTTCCCAAAAGGTACTTAGGGTTGGCTTAAAAGAGCTGTGTCCCTCAGATCAGCACAAAGGTGCACGAAAGGATTGTTAAAGGACTTGGAGTCCCTTTAACTAGCAAGACCTTGCAGGGGTACAAAGGGTTTTTAAGTGACTTAGAGTCGCTCAAACTTGCCAGACCTTATCACCTTCATCATCTGATGAATCTTCCTTATCCTGGAAAAAAACAACCACACACGTTAAAATGAGAATCAATGAAAAAATGAAAACCTTCTTTAATTGCAAAAGTACTTTACAATGCAAAACACCTCATAGATTCTTGAATAATAATAGTTGAAATATTTCTACTGAGTTTTGTTGAAGAAATAAATACTTGCTCAATTCCTGAATATTATCTTTTTAAACTGATATTTTGATAGCCTAATTAAAGTATGAGACTATTTATCTATATCCAGTTAAGCAGTGTTAAATATATGCAAACTTACCTCAGACTTGTTATCAGGCAGGACCAAGGAGTCCATCAAAGTCTCGCAGTCCAGTGAAAATTTTCTGCCTGTTTCTAAGGCACTTGTACTGCCTGTAATCGAAAAAGATTCATATGAAAATGCTCTCAACACAAATAATAAATATTGGTTGATAAAAACTTGGTTAAAATCAATGGTTCTTTCTTATCAATATCAATTAATAATTAATTTTTGGGAGCTTCTAACAAAATGTTATACTGATGTACAGGTATTAAACAAAAATCATTACAATATGTTACCACACCTGTTTTGAAATGACGGATCATTGGAAAATCCCGATAACTGTTGGTGTCCGATTGGCTACCCTGGCGTGTAAGTGTTCCAGTGGCTATAAGAGAGGGGCGTGGCGAATGAAGTGGTGTACAGTAATTGAGTGTATGTACACTGCTACTTCGTGTCATGGGTGCTCGCTGAAACACTCGAATCATAGCATCCTTCTCAGCAAGTTGGGTCTGCAAGGATTTCACCCTGATGAGAGAAAAACATTATTTTATTAAAAAGGCTCCCTTATAATGATCCTTTTTATCAACATTTAATTAAATAGACAGAACTTCAATAATAAAGCTAAAAAGGTTTACTTCTAACATCCTTATTGTAGATTCCAGTTTACATTATGAAGCAAAATCTGTGTTCTTCAGGAGAAATTTTTCAAAATCTTAAAACACTCCGAATGAATAATTTCTTAAGTAAATAAATTTCTCCTACAGTTGACTTACTTTGACTCGAGTTCAGTGATCTGTGACCGGAAAACTTCTTCTACAGGGCCCACCTTGGGTGGAACCTGTAGTCTTTCCAAGTCAAACGACCACTGGTCTCGGAGTTCAGGATTCTGCAGGGTGAGCTGACGCATGTTCTCCTCCAGGTATTTCTGCTCCCACTGAAACATAAATGATGAAGGTTAGTACAATGGTGTCTACCTTAATTGTAACGCATTATTGCAAGTTCTCAAAAGCTTTCCAAGAAGTTAATTTATCATGGAAAACAGTTAAATGCAGCATATATGTGTTAATGCAATTTCAGTTTAAAGATTTAATTAATGAATTGCCAAAAAAAGGTCTAGTAATTAGATATATGCTTAGATATATGCTATTTCACACATTATACAGTGACTTGTTTTAGTTATCTCCCCTAGTTTCCAGGTAATAAGTGTTATCAATGCTGATCATTTTCATTCATTAAAAAAATACAATGTATAATTGTTTATTTTGTAACTTTTAGGAATTGGTCCATAAGTCTGAGAATTCAGCCTAAACATCTCACTTTATATTCACCTTAACAACTTCTGTTTCAAGTTGCAAAATCTTTGCTTCTTTCTCGTTAAGAAGTCGCTGTAGGGAGTAGATATTGTTCAACTCTGAGGCTGTCTCTTTTCCAGGTTCTGTCTTTGGTAATGCACCATTCTGTCAAAACGAATTTTAAATCATTCAATTGATCATATATGAGAAGTATTTTTTTGTTAGAATATGTCATCAATGTGGAAAATTGGAAAACTGGTTATGATTACACTTGACTTGTTAGCCTTCATTACCTGCTCTTGTGTCTTGTTGAGTTTCTTCTCCAGGTTCGTCCTCAGCTTCGTCTCCATCTGTTCCCGCTTCTCACATGTTGATTGTAGTAACGAAAACGCTCGCTGTAACTGGTCAAGTCGCTCCATCTGGACTTGCTTCACACAACACTGAAAAATTACAGGAGGAAGTAGATTATACACTGGATTTTTATTTATGGTCAGGTTATAAATAGATTCAATATCATGGAAATATGTAGTTTGCTTTGGACCGTCTTCAAAATTCCAGGTGTTGCACTGACTTGCATTCTCTGAACCTCTGGAATAGCTAACTGTGTGCATTGTGTCACCCACAAGCCTTTAATTTTCCTCATGACATTCTAGGTGGGGCAGAGAATGTAAGTGTAAACCCTAGAATATCAGGGATGGCTTTGGACGAGATGGCCGACTGGCTACAAAAGTTAGACGTTATTCAGTGGCTTACCTCCTTCTCCAGCCGCACAACATTAGACTGAGCGTTTGTTAGTGCACCGTCTAAGATATCCAACTGGTCAGTCTGTCCTTGGACTGTTGTCCGGAGTGTTGCTACCTCAAGCTCAAAACGGTCACGCTGATTTTGAAGTTCTTTGTCTGTAGACAGAAAGGTCAAGGTTAAAACAGAGATAAAATACAGAACTATCAAGAATAATTATTTTATCGTTAACATTTTCCTACAAACAACTCTGAAAGTATGACTGGTGACAATTTGAGAAATGAAAGAGTTTCGTGTAAGTATGTTTCCATATGTCCGAGTCGGATTGAATGTTATAGTTTCGCTAACATATCATGAGAACTTACTTTTTGCCAACAAGGCTGATGTTCCTTCATCTCTGTGTGCTCCTAGACTGGGCTGAACAAATAAATTAGGATTTTTATGAACATATTGTAATCATGCAAACTAGATCTAATTCGATATTGATATAAATATAAAATTACAAATATTACTGTCAATTTCTTGTTTATATTGTTTAAGTTTCATTGTTGTGAGTTTTAAATATTTCAATAAACATTCATCAAATATTATTATTTCAGTAAAACTATAATTGGAATTTCTTTGATCCCATTGATGAATTTTATTTTCTTGACGAGTTCATTTAATTTTGAATAAATGACACTTACCTCACTATCGGAACCCTGACTAGATTTGTCTAATTTGTCTGTAAATAAGAAAAGTTAAACATTAATTCATGAATGGGTCTAAACTACATTTAACCATATTTGGGTATACACACAAATAAATATATCAATTACACCTGAATTAGCTATCGGAAACGTTTACCTGTACACAATGACAATTAGCTATCGGAAACGTTTACCTGTACACAATGACAGACTTGCTGACAGTGTTTACAACAAGATCATACACTACCATTGACTCACTCAGAAAAAATGTCCGAAATAGTTCTTAAGAATTTGGGGTAAATACTATATGTATACATATATACATAGTACAGCTGTTATTATATAAAAGTTCAAAGGTTTTTGTAGTTTGTTCCATATTTGTATTACCGGGTACATTCAGTCAGAAAAAATAAAATGATCACTGATCAAGAATTGAATTACAAATAAATTTCCTTAAATAAATGTGTAATGGGGTATGACGATTTGAAGACCTCCATCTTATTATTAACAAATTAATCTAAAAATAAATCCCTTTACAATGCGATGTACAAAAATCAGTTCAAAGAATGTGTTTCCGATGTCCCATTAACATATGAAGGTTTAATGGTGCATAAAAAACATCTGCCACTAACCTCACAGCAGAATAAATTTCTTTACAAAACTGGGTACAAAAGAAAAGCAATTTATTCTTTTTGAAGGTTTTTACGTAGAACCTGGACTCTGTTCTACATTCCATGTAGCGGTGTTTTTCAAAGGCTAAAATCCTTATCACAAGTTGGCCATGTTATTACACAAAAGAGCCTAACGATTATAGAGCGGAGAATGGAGTTACAGTAGGCAACATAAAGGTGGTTGAGCCGATCCTTGTGTTCAACCAAGTGTGACAGACATAATACACCAGACATTCCTCTCTAAGCAATTCAATGTCCTGTTGTTACTCTAGCTAATTCAAAATATCCTATACAAATAAATTCCTCCTTTTAAATTTCATTTCCTTTCCTTCCTATTTTGTAAAATTTCCTTTCCTTTCTGTCTGATTTTGTTCTGATCTATTTTTTAACTCATTTTAACACTAGAAAGTGGAATCAAACACGTGGTTGAAATAAAAACACGCCTTGGTGTAAACTTATTTGTACATCATTTTGCGATACACAGACACTAAATAGCTTCTAATTCACAATTCTCAATCTCCCTTCTTATACTAATTCATAATGAATACATTAAAACTATTACAATGGTACATATATTGAAAAGAAGAATAACGAAAGAAAAATAGAGAAAGAAATGCAACATTTTTTACAAAGACAATTCATCATCACATACAGTAAATAGCTACCAGCTGCAAACTGCATTCAGCTTTTCAGTATATTGTAATGTGTATATTGTACAAACTAGACTGTAACTCAGCAGAGATAAATGTTCAGTAAGGATGTATACCAACAGCACGGGAGATCTTATGTTACAATCCACACCCTCGTTCTGTCATTTACATCATCAAATATTATAATTACAGGTAAATAGGCACCTTGTCTGACATTCCAACACCAATTCTAATTACCCTACAAGCTAAAGTGGAACAACCCAACACAATAAACGGGTCATACCACTAAGACTACCAGGTGATGTAGATTATGATTTTTCTAAACCTTACATACCTGATAGTTGTCTCTGAATATTTATGCAAATAAGCCAGGTGTTGGGACATATCATTTACACACTTTTTTGAGGTTTTATTTTTAGCTTTTTTAATGTTTTAAACATCCTCCTCATCACCGTGATCAATCATTAAGATAAATACCTTACCTTTAAATGTCTTGTTCTGACAGACTAATTTCCTTATTTGCTCCTCAAGTCGCTTTTTCATCATTTTTTCTAATTTCTCGCGCTTCTGTGAAGACTGGACTAAAGACTCGTATGCCTCATGAACTTTCTGGATTTCCATTTCAAACTGGTAACAAAGCAAAATCAGAGTTCAAGTCTTCTTTAAATCTTCACTATTACCAATATGTATATATGCAATTTTATAAATCATATATTTGCACGGAAATTTTCACTGTTGAATACACATATTTCAAGAAGAAAGAAAAAATCATTCTACCAAAAGTCAACAAAATGTTTGACTTTAGAGTCACATGACCTCTGGTAAAGAAAAACAAGAATCAACATCTCGAAAAAATAATTCAGTTATCCAAAAGAACACAAATTTCTGTCGCCATATTTTGAGGACTCACCTTTTGAAGTTTGGAGACTTTTTTACAATAAATATTTATGTCTTCCCGTAATCGTTTGTTTTCCTCTGTCAGAATTTCGACCATGTCTGTCGTCCGAAGAGGGTTAAGCTCATGAGCTACAGGTTGACTGAAAACAAAAACAAAATATTTTAATTTGAAATTCCCAAAACAGCAATAGCATTGTGCATGAATTGAGAATTTTATTTTCAAACTATCTTAAACTTCATAGCAACATATTCACCTTGGTCTTGGGAGAGGCGAGTACTGTAGGTTGGGTTGTCCTGCTAATGCTTCAGTGTTGTGCGTTTCCCAATATCTGTGCAGATCTGGTTGAGAATGACATGATTTCATTTCCACCGATTCAACAGTTTCATACGACCTTTTCATTTTTGTTCTGTCCATGTTTTCGTACAATCCGTTTGCTCCAGGGTACTGTGGTGGAGGCGTTAACGTTGTAAAATATGCTGCCTGTAACCCTGAGTTTGTCGTTGGCTGTTGGTTAGACCCTACAAACGCCCAGTCTGTATTTGAACACAAATGTGACTCTCCAAAGTCCTTCCCCCCCATACTGCTATCCCCACCCTTCTGTGGCAGGAGGTGAGGGGTTTGAGCCCAGGGGTAAAAAGGGCCACTGTTGAGATAACCCCGGTTATCCGTGGGGTGGGGTACCTGTCCATAGTAGGGCACACTACTTTGTTGTGTTTTGGAGTCGTGAGCGAGGCGTGCCATAATGCTGTATTCCTCGCTGCACTCTGTGTGGTGGTGGTAGGCGGGTGTGGCCGTTTCCTCCCCCTGAGGTTCTTGTCGCTGTGAAGACGATAAGTTTTCCATGGACGAAACCGAAACATCTGTACTCGTCTCACTCCCGGAGAAACTCTGTCGAAGACCTACAATCACAAATTGAGGTTTCATGTCAAACTGGAAGCAGCATAAAAATGAAACACAATATAGTACTTTAACAGTTCAGCTGGGACTTTCATTCAAAGTGCAAGCTTTTACTCTGTAATATTGAATAATAACAAATCTTTTTTATACTTTGGTTGACAGACAGACAAATCGGACAGACAGCTCTCAGCATTTTATCGATTTCAGTGCTGGAAATGCAATGCCATAAAACACCTTTTAAAGTATCACTTACCAGATATATCAGATTTTAAATCTTTTCAGAAATGCAGGATCCTCCGGAAGTGTCATAAACCTATTTTATTTAATACTAGCAGTATAAGAGATAAGAGGTTGTGATAGACTTTACTATTGTAAATTTTAACAGTGACAGTAAGGAAAACTATGTATACCATACCAGGTATTACTCAAAAATAGAACTAATGCTTTTGTCTTTAATTTTTTGGATAAGATTTTCTTTTTCTTTCTTACAAAGGAGTGGCTATCCTGGAAACCAACAATCCCAACAAATGCTAGACATACCTTTGTGTACATGTGTGTTTGTTCAGATATTCCAGTGAAGATGATGTGTAGTAAGTAGGTATGGAGTTGACTTTTTCATCATTTTTAGAAGTTATTTGGCATAAAATTATTAATATCAAACAATATTTTTTAACTACGACTTGACCAAAGCCAACCAAACCTATGGGATGTGGATGTTCAATAAATGCATTGATGACAGCAACCTGATATTTCCGATAAAGGTACATCAAGCTTGACTATTGTTTATGTGATACACATGTAAATCTAAATACAACACTTACAAAGGTATGAGATGGTATTAGGGTGCAGGTAGACTATATAAGTACTCACTAGGTTGGGCCATCTGTTTGCTGTGCCCGGGGTACGGGGGAGGATCCCGATATTGGGTCTGCATCATCAACCCTTGGTCAGCCTCCGATACTACCAAGTATTCATCACTTGAGTAGGCCTTCAGCAAGTCTACAAAACACACAAGAAAGCATGCTTAGTACCAAGAATTGATGTAAATACATTTTAAGTTTATTAAGTATCAGATTTAAGATAGTTACTAAGGCCAACAAAAAATATATGTCTGTTTAGGGTTCCTGCCCGACCCTAGCTTTTTACCCCCCACCCAAAACTTTTTGATGAAAAAAACACAAAAAAAACCCACTGATTTTTCGAATTTTAGAAGGTTCCTTGCCTTCAAAATGGCTTCTATAGCTTCATGTTGGCGCTAAATGTCAGCNAACAAAAAAAAAAAAAAAAAAAAAAAAAAAAAACGACCTACCTACCCTTGTTGTTTTTTTGCCCATGCAACCCAAAAAACAGACTAATTTTTGTTGGCCTAATGGACTTCGGCAAGTCTTTGTAATAGTTTATAAGTGTTCTGCAAATTTGAAAAACAAAAATATTATGATTATCATTTAAATTTCACTGAAGCATTGTTCAATTTATAAATGGCTTATGAATTGAAGTTTATTTATAAAAAAAGATCTTTTATCAAACACATGTCAAAGCTGCTCAATCTACATGCCAACGTCTACAATCCTGTACGTATTGGATTTTTTTATTTTTTTTTATTTGCTTAACAGTAAAATTAGGTCTGATTTCTAAACTCATTGAAGAGGTAACATCAATGATAAAATCAAAAATGACATCAAATAAAATCATCTGGATCTATGTATACTATCAACACTGATTACGCACGTCTTCCAAAATGATTGTTATTACAAAACTCTTCTGATTTTACGACCTGCGTCATTCCACAAAGAAATGAACATATGGTAGTCATATCAACAACAGCTTCGTCTGTCTGTTAGCCCTAAAGCTGGTTAATTTTAGCTGTTACATATCCGATCCTTCCACAGCGCTCAAAACAGACATTGGAGGAATGTTCAGAGCTTCAAGTAGCTACATAACTAATGGTCTTATCTGGATTCTAATTGAATTTACATGAGGGGGAAAAAAAACACTTCCTCTATCTTCAGTACATGCCTAATCCAGATCAGACACAAATTCTTAATGAAATCAACAAGATACATAAAACAGAAAAATGTATATATATACACTGTGATCAGCAGATAAGACTTCTTACAAAATATTTCCCTGTCTCCTTATGTTAGTAAAGGTCATGAATGTGCAACAAAAAACGATAAATAATAGCAAGGAGAAATAGTATATGTATGGTAGGTATATACACAACAATATGTATCCCTAATTCATCGTTATAGAAATTATTATTGCTATTAATGTTAAGTATAGTGTATCACATTCTGGCACGCCAGGCAATCAATTGTCACAAGATCCATACATGTATATTACCCTGAGCGCCATATTATAGCTACAGTGTAATACCATAAGAATCACATTGTTAATGTGCAGACACCTACAATAATGTAGCTATATGTTAGCTATAACTGCAGGTCTTAATTGCACCATACTAATTTATCCAACTCAATCCTCTAGCTAAATGCTGTATACAAGTGTTCCTACACAAAAACCACTCAACCAGCTGGGTATAAAACAAGATTGTACCAAAAGGTATTAACTAATGCAGTCTATATATATATCACAGAAGTGACATACCACATGCATGGCTAGGAAAGAAATCAAATCTTCTTTGAATTTGTCAGTCACATATATGCAGTACAAGTGTAAATGAGTTCTGAACGAGGGCAGACATGGCCACTGAGACAAGTATTTTGTACATAGGAACATTATAATATATTTGGCAGACGCTCCACATGCTCCATAACACTCACATACCTGTTGACTGACGGTATCGGATATTTATAGACTTGTACAGATTTTCATACAAATTGACAGTAAAATTTATCAAAAATGACCAAAAAATTACACTTACCAACAAACATGGAGATGAATAAATATTTCAATCCACAAAGATATGGTTTGTTGTGTTATAAGTTCCACGAAAAAGAACACAAAGAGTTTCTCTCCCTTTGGATGACTGTACTGGAGCCGTGTATAATCAGATCTAAGCCGGCTAGCACATACCTTCCCACTCCACCTAACAGACCACATTGGTATGTACGTCTCAGATTAGCATAGTCGGCTTAATGCTAACTTTTAAACCCTTCATGTCCCTCAATATATCTAACAACCTTTCGTTTTTCAGTTGTCTCTTGTGCAAAACTGACTTTAAATTAAACAGAATTATCTGTCACATTAATCAACATCTTACAAAAATAATTCCAATAATTATAATTGTCTTCCAATGCACATTTCAAGCTGAGGATGCTTTAAAAGCAGTGGTTTGTGTTTGCACCAGTGTGTAATGTGTATGAACCCCTGGGGCTCACCAGAAATTTATTCCTGTACACATTCCTAACATAACAAAAGGTCTGTTATTGAAAGCCTTAGTAAATACTTCTTGATTTGATAACAGGATGAAACTTGATTTAGATATGATAGATTTTAAAATTCAAGCACATGGTAGATAACATTGTTAAAAATAAAAAATAAAAAATCCTACAATTACAGTGTTATTAGTCAACCATCTTAAAAATATTTAATCTATTTGTTTTCCATATTGCACTTGATACGCTTCACATATAGGTAAACCTGTGAGTACAATGAGGTGATATAAAGAAGCCCTTTTTAAAAAGTGTACACATATGCTGATTGAGTTGCCTTTGGTTAATACAGCTTTCTACTTTAATTTAGATTCTTCGTTAATATGGTACATAAAATTTCATTCAAATTTAAATATATAATGAAATTAACATTTTGTATTCTTATTTTATTCTTAAACAAATCAATAAAAAAATACAAATGAATGGTTAAAAGTTTATACCATATGAGATATTATGATAAACAGTATTTTTTCTTACATTTACTTCTTTCAAAACTCATTTAAAACATATCAGGCTCATAAAACCACCTGAACTGTCATATATTGACACATCTACCTCAATCTAATTTAAAATACAGATATTAATTTATCACCTCTGTCATTACCTTAATGTTAAATGTGATAAAATTCAATCTGTATTCACTCAATCAAATTGCACCTGCCCTTTGTTCTAATAAAATTTTTGAAGGTTTATGTTTCCAATGCAGAGTGTTTTTTATCTGAGTTTTCAACAGCATGTTCCTTTATGAATTGGAAATATAAAGCATTATTTTTGTTGAAATTGGGAAAATATTTCTCATTTTTGGTAATTTTGGGAAAATAAGGCACTTTTTAGCTAACAAGAAACAGTCTGTAATCGGCTGTAAAACTGAGCAAAAAACATCACAGCATTGGCTAATATATTTCGTACCAGGAAATAAAATGGAAATTAAAGAATATAAATTAATTTATGCAAAATTTCCATATTTTCAGTAAGTCAACCCCTGCAGACAGAATATTTCTGTCACATTCTTGTTCAACTACTGAACGATGAGCACAGACACAGTCATAGCTTACATGGAAATGATCAAGTTAAAAGGTGTGTTTTAATCTCCACATTCCACAGCTCAGCTGTAATGATATATAACATGCGGAGTATTGCATTCCTTATCAGAGATGAGAACTGTATGCTTAGCTAACCACACGCATATTTATTGTCAAACATGCAAATTTCGAAATTAAATGTATTAAGTTCAAGTTTTATCTTATCAGTAGCGCAGGTGTTTTGGCAATGACTGTTTAAGTATGCAGTTTATGACGGCTATGTCTCTGCCTTCCTTTTTAGCTTTTTGCAGGAAATCAATCATGGAAAACTTGCCCCATCGCAATATTTCATAATCATGCATATACAAAATATTTCAGACCAAACAAATGTTGTTTTGCAACAAACACGTTCACAACCTGTGACCACAATATGTCAGGACCTATCTTTTTTCAAAAATATTTACCTATTAAAAGAAGTTAAATGTTGTGTGTATGTATTTTATATGATGACAAAGTGAGTTCAACTAAGATGGATGTACTGAAATATATAGGGCGCTATATATATAAATACTGTATAATACATGTAATATAATATTATAACCAAGCTGTGTTTCCTTATTTTCTGTCAAGGACTTTGTATTTAATCATTTTACATCAACTTTTCGGTTTTTGCTACCTAAACAGTTTAAAAATATCAAACAGTTTTTTTTTAAAATATTACTTAAATGTAATACAGAAACTGTTTTTTTTGTGATCAACTATTATCAAGTATGTAGAAAATAAAGAAAATTTACAAAATAGAGTGAATATTTTGTAGATTTTATCCAATAAGTTTGGGCAATTTTCATAAATATAAAAAGTTTTGATTTTTTTCAGGTATCCTTACAAATGTGGAACAATAAATTTTGAAGGTATGATCAATGTTGGAGGATGTAGATTTCATACAATCACGAAGTTTTGACTGATTGTCGGTCAGGTTTTACCTGAGGCTAGCTACTTTAAGCCTGGAATGCCATTAAGTGGTGGGCTAAGGGGAGAGCATGGCTAGTGATGTTCTGGGAAAACCTCTGTTACCTGTGCTACTAACAATCTTACAAACTTGGCCATGTGTTGCTACTATATACTGGTATAAATCATTATATGCACATTGGATTGCAGCCTGAAGGGACTCTTTGAAATAAATCAATTCTTACCTGAGCTAATGAAATATACCAGTACAGCATATTATGCCTAACAGCTATATTGTGACAATGTAAAATGACTTTTACCTGTGTAAATATACTAACGAGACCATCAGCAGGTGTGAGGAATGTTCCTTAGGGCTATAAGGCTTCACTACAGCTATAAGCATCCAGAATTTACTTGCACAGATTCATTAGATATACATGGAATGTACGACAATATGGAGTCCATTCACAAAGTGTGATCAACACTTACTTGAACATTTTTGTATTTGTGTCGTATAAAATTACAAAGTACCTGAACCAGAATTATGATCGCCCTACAGGTATTTAGGTGTAACGCATATTATTACCAACCAAATTCCGTTATATATATTCCCGACGGTAATCATCATTGTACAAATCTTTATATTCCTAATTTGATGATTTAAACAATATCACAGTAATTAGTAAGTGTCACACGTCCTTCGTCTATAACACTATAGGACTTTTAGTTTCATTCATGTCAAGTTTAACAGTTGGTTAATTCTTTAAATATTTATCAATGTTTCAATAACTACACAAAAACATGAATATGAATAAAAAGAATTAAGAAAATGTTCCAGGATATATACGAGAAAAAATGCCCCACCACAACTGTGCACATATTTAAGATCATATTTCTTCTATCTGTTTTTTTCACAAACTTCACTCTCAATATTCAACAATACTACACAAAAAAGACTGTTTTTTATATTGCAAGTTAAACATACAGAAAATGTATATGTATATGGTCCTAACTATTAAGAATTAAATCCTATGGATCATTTAACAGAACTGTAATCACTGATATCTATACAATTATTTATAGAAACCTGTCATTAGTGATAATAACGTATAGGTTTAATACCTTGAATTTCATCCATGTTGGCATATGTAGGCGACACATCTCCACTACTGTGCGTCTGGTGTGTTAAAACCATACTGTCAATCTTCTAGTGTCGTTCAGGTTAATTACAAACGCGTTAATTAAATCCACAAATCTTGAATATCACAAAAACTCTTGTGCGATCCAGCACACAATCCCAGTGTAGAATCAAATTTGCGGTACTAAAATTCCTTTAAACTTTCACGCAAAGGGTTGGTATATATACCAGAAACACTTTGATAACAATTCCATTCTTATAGTATTAAAAAGCTTCGACACAAAATAAGAAATCCAATCTTGTTCAAAATTAACAAATAAATAAAATGAGTTGAGGTATTCCTTGTGTACAGGTATCCAGTGGGTATAATAACAGTCTACCTATCTACCACCAACTCCATTTTTATGGTGACACTGTTCCTGAAGCCCCAGTCGTTGTATTGTGTGTACACAAGGTGTATCGCATATATATATCCACATACAAAGACCCTTATCTGATGTAACGACGGCTGACACGCTCCATTGAACAACCCGCTAATTATTAAATGTCCGGAATGTGAAGAATTAACCGCCAAATCCTGTGGCCTTTCTACTTCCCTATATCATGATTAATATCCATACCTGGTATAACGGGGACGTACCAGTCAGGTTAACATGTACAGCACGAGGCCTTTTGTTATACACAATGATAGCCGTCATTTATGGTATTTATGTATAATTGTGTAACTTTAGTTTACCACAATCACACCCACTATCGAACACCAGGTAAAAATATTGTCTGCAAGGAATGTTCATTAGAGTTATACCAATTTATCACATTTCTGTAAAAGGTTCTATGTTGTAACTACAGTACTGACAAAACATTCCTTTTTTTACTTTCATGTACGTAAGAACGGCTCATTATTGAGATCAAACACCGTAGTAATTAATATCAATATCTTGTCTGCAGAAATGAAGGTAATTTTCTGGCGTCCCCTAAATTCATTGAACATTAGATCTAGAAGGAGAATTTATATAATCAGCACAGGATTGAATTAAGTTGAATGTAATTTAAATCAGATACCCGTCGCAATAAGACATTTACTCAAAAGGAGGAATCACTGAACATTTGGTATTTAGCATTTAACTGCTTTCAGATGCAGTTCATAGGCATTACAGGAAAATAGCATGAACCCTTAGGTATGGCTGCAGTCCATAGGCATTACAGGAACCCTTAGGTATGGCTTCAGCAGTCCATAGGCATTACAGGAACCCTTAGGTATGGCTGCAATAATACAATTTATCCAAGATTGCAAACTTTGTCTGCCTGAAATAAAAACTTAAGTTTACAGTCCATTAAAACTGTGTTCAGAAACATCTGAAGAGTGAGAAAGTTTTTGTACAGTTACAAAAACAATAATTATAAAGAACCACTGATATCAATCAGGTTTGAAGAATTAGTTTTAATCCTAAGTTCACTGATCTGCCTTTAGTCTGATCGTGAGTATTCAGTAAATTGGATGTCAGAAGGTGCTACGCCAAGGATCAAACCTTAACCCTGGACTCTCTTTTACAAGTCAGAAACTCTAAACACAGTCATGTATATAATTATAATCCTTCCTCTGTTTTCATTACTAGAACGAGCATATGTGATTTTCTTTACTAACAACATACCTTAAGATTATAATAATTACATGGCCTCAAAGTAATTACCCAGAAAGCTATTGTTTTGTGAAAATAAAATCTTTAATACAAAATAACCATTTTTTTCTGCAGTGATATCTAAATGAATCTTTTTGGACTTCGCAGTAACAGTGAGAAATCTACTAAACGTGGCATAACAAATGTGGTACAGCTTAAACTTTCAAACTTCAGTCATGGATTCCACTTTTAACTTTACTTCAATCTATCAGTTTCTTTACTATTTAAGGCAACGCCAAGGACTTAGCTAGCAATCTAGACAATCTAACTCTGTGGTAAAACTAAAACCTTTCTCACTATAACTACAATTAAAATGTACCCAGAGAGCTAGAAGCACCGTTTTAATGACTAGCTTCTACAGCAGTTTCACCCCTGAGGAGCACAGGAAGAACTACACATTAATGGTGGTTGATCATCAGAAGCAGTAGCTACAGCTAGTAGTATATAAATCTAGAGATAAGACTGTGGCTCTAGTACATTGTAGACTGCCTAACTGACACCGGGAGTGATGAATCTCCTTCCTATCAAGTCACCACTGTGAATGACTGATAAATCGGAATTCCTCATAGATAATATGAATATTTTGCATAGGTGTGTTAGATAACTCGATGTAGTATCTGTGTTACCGCCTAAACCCTGGGTCAGTATACCCAGTCTATACATGCAACGGTACAGAAATGTAGTCAAATACCTTGGAGTGCACTGTACCAAAATCTCTACCAGATTTTTTTCTAGCTTGAAATTGCAAAAAGTTACATGTATATTACATACAAGAGTTACATATTTATCCTAGTTTCCTTTTTCACATAAAAAAATCTCTGCCAGAATTAAGGAAATTTGATCTCCTGAAATTAATCTACAGAGCTTAGTTTATGTCACATACATTTAATTAATATTATACAATTTTTCTGCAACATTACAGATTAGTTTCAAAATGTTCAAACTCCAATAATTTATTATTTTTTAGGCTACCTGTTAACACTGTCATGTGGTGGTCGGGTGGTGCAGTGGATAGCGCACTGGCCTTTCACCAAGGCGGCCGGGGTTCGATTCCCCAATCGGACGTGAAAAGGTACGGGGTCACCTGCCCTACCACGCAGGTTTTCTCTGGGTACTCCCGTTTCCTTTCACAAGAAGACCCCTGCGCGCTAACATCCGGGCCAACAAGAGTGAATAATATAAGTTGAAATAATTTGTTTCATAATTGTTGTAAAATAAATTAAGTTTATATATAACATGAGTTTCATCTTAATTTTCCTGTATTTGGCCTCACAATTGGTTTATATATAACTGCCTATTTTATATAATCCTGGAATGTTGAACAAATGAATAGTATGCATTTATCAAGATTCTTCATCAAACAAAAACCTCCATACAAATGACTATGAATAGATAGATACTGTAAAAAAATATCCATATAACTTATTAACTCTGCAAGGTATTTTTGAACATTTTGATACTGTCAGCTTATTAAAATGTGGGTATTTGGTATGATAAGATGTCATAATAATAAAATATCTTGTTAATAGACACTTAAGGTGATCACAACAATTATTCACCTAAATGTAATTTTGTCTCGAGTATTAGATAAGTATTACGACCTTAAAAAGAATTGTGGAGACACAATACCTTCCTTTGTTCAATGATTGTGACTTTGAAGCATGCCTGACTGACTGAAATGTTAAAAGTACATGTATTATGCACTAGATATTGTCCAGCTCTTAATTATTATATAGAATCCTACTCATTTATATGATGGTGATCATCTTAGGCCAAGAACCAGTCCTCAAAATGTCCATAGATCAGCTGTTCAAGTTCAAGTTTCAAGATTTTCATTTCCGAATGCAATACAGCATATTATAGGTTAAATGTATACAAAGTGCACAAACCATATTACAATTTACAAGATGGCAGAGGACAATTCCATATTAGCACTTATCACACAAAAATGAATACAATATTTACTTCAGCAATATTACTGCACAAGGGTTTTTCTTTCAGCAGCAGCATACCGTAAATAGTTACCCAAACTACGTAATGTTTTGATATTTTTACACGACAATAATTCAATTAATTTATACACACTGGGGCGTCGGTAGTAATATTGTTCAATGTATGTGTTTCTCAGTATAGAATAAGAAGGACAAATAAGAATAAAATGTATCTCATCTTCTATATCATTTTTGTTGCAAGCTAAACATATTCTTTGACCCGACGGAACCCCATTATAACGTCCAGAGTTGATGATAAGGGACTCGCTCATGCGCCTGGATGCCATACTGCAGTCAACATGTTTTTTTGTTATAAAAGTTAAAGACTTTACTAAATATAATTGAATATTAGAAGTATCGACAAGGTGTCTTTATGTGTTAATTACCCATTAAGAATGTGTGTTACCTTACACAGTAAGCATTGTACCTGGGGTTTGTGTTAGAGTAACCTCCCTTGTTAACTTTTAATTAGCATTACAAGTCAAAGTAGTTAGTGTTATAAATTAAATGCAAGCATTAATTAGTATGCATCTTTCAAATATGTTTCATCAATTAATTAGGCCATTATAATTTTCAATTTACAACCTGTAAAGGGTATTTGACGGCTGGATCTGAATGTGTGTGGAACTATTGTAGAGAGGAGGCAATGTGTCAAAGGAAGACAACGTTCTTTGTCAATTAATATGGATCCAAATTAAAATCATTTTCCAAATCATCTATGATGGTATTTTACTTAAATTTTATAATGTTCAAGTATGTATAATTGTGATTGAAAAAAATATGATTCTTACTCAAAATTATATTTTCATTTTAACTAAATTTTAAAATTTCGACTATTTGAAGATTATGAACTATAAAGACAAATTTTTGCAGTAATGTGTCATGAAGATATTTAGAATGATACACCTGGGTCAGACTCATTGTGAAGGAATTTAATTAACAAGCTATGGCCACCAGGTAGCTCACAGGTTACAGCATTGTTAAACTTAACTTATAGATCATTATAGCTGATTAACTCAGGACAATGCAACCCTATGTCACAGACATACCTGTTTTGTCTAAAGGCACATTAAGTGTCATTATAACTAGTCTGGCTTAAAGCCACTTATTTATTATAACAGGGATTCAAGTGTTTGCAGACCACATTCCAGTCATAACGATCTTGCCATCTTCACCTTTTTAAAGCCATTACTGTCAACGTCATGTGGTAAGAAAAGCAGAATTTTAAAACATTTTTGTTTTTTTATTTGTCAGATATGTGCTGAAATTACATTAAAAAACATCAAAACATTTTAATTTATTTAACTTCATTTTTGGAAATTTAAATAATTTGTTAAAACTGATTATTACAGCAAAATATTTGAAGGATGGCCATAATATACAACATTTGATATAGCACCCTAATCAAGCCAGAAAAAGCCACTCTAAAGCGATTTACAATACATAGATATACAATTAATCAATACAATTATGAGGAATTCGCAGGAGCTGCCTTATCATGCGCTAACTACTCCAGTTCTATGCCACCTTGTTAATATATCCCTATGTGTGTATGCCAGCATGTACGTGTGCTGGAGATGTATTGTGTTCTGTTTGTAGTAGGACCGTACTTCCAACGGAATCATTTATAGTGCCACCTCACTTAAATGCTAGTCACAGAAACCACAAGATCCACCCCACACCAATTTATACTCCACCTGGGTAATGTTGGAGTTGTGTGGCCAGGAGAAAAACACTTTCTCTGAATATTCTATTTGTACGACGACTGTTGATCGCAACCCGCCGCCTGT